TATATTCTTGTTATGCAGCTGTGGTTTAAGACATACTTTCACGGTGCATTTGATATGGTGTTGTTCAGCTTAATTTTATTCTATTGATTTAGGTGTTGGCTTGAAAATCAATACCTTCCTTTTTCTTGCCCCTATAGTATATCCGGAACTGTGTAATGAACAGGACGCTGCCCCATTTTATACTTGTGGAATGCTGCAAGATCAAGAAAATGTATGAACAGGAAATGATTGCCATAGAGGCTGCCATAAATAGAAATTCATCTAATCTTCCTCTTCCATTACCACCAAAGAAAACACGAATTATTTATGTAAGTTTTATTTCTGAACCTTTAGCAACCCCAAAAGGCATGTGATTGTGTTAGTTTACATAAGTTTCACACGTATTTCCTTTGCTCACTTCTCTTGTGAAATGAATGCATATTTGCCAAAAATCTATCATTTATTTAAAAATTATCTTTGTAGATATTATTTTTACTCAAGGTGCAATTAAATGTAAATATGCCATTTATATTTTTGGTGTTTTTTTTCTGCTAAAGAAAAATGCCATCAAATTTTGATTTAAATACAGGAGATTTTGATTTAAATACAGGACTTCAGTGAGTAATTGGAGACATTCTAGTAGAAAAGTTAGATGTGCAGAAATAATTGAATTAACCAGTATATTTCATTTCTATCAGCTTAACCATGATAGTGTTTTTGGTGTAATTTACCTGCTTTCTTAATACTGAATTATTTTAGTATTAAACATATGTGAAGGGCACTATTTTTTTTTGAGAATGTAATATATTTGTATAAAGCAAATCTTAAGCTTGTCTTTATTTGAACAGTTAACACTTTTTAGTCAGTTACTCAGTCATCACAAATGGTATATTTAACTGCTCCTTGCTGATGTTATTTCTGCATTAATGTAAATGTTCAACTTAATTTATACAAAGCTTTTATTACTATTTGTTAATGCTTTTAATTTAGTGATATCTCTTAGCATTAGTGGAATGCTGCGTATGTTTTGCCATGAAAGCCAAGTGTTAGAAGTTAGAATGTTTAATTTAGTATATATGACTTTCAGTTGTTACTTCAGAGCTCTATTTTCATAATTTTGCCAACAGACATTAGAACTGATGACGATTTCATTGCTAGCGTAGAATATTCATTTCTTTCATTAAAATAATTTGTATCTTTTTATTCTTTTATAGCATGTTTGGGAAAATAACAACCCTTTCCAAATTATCTTGGTTAAGGGAAATAAACTTAACACAGAGGAAACTGTAAAAGTGAGTACCCACTAAGATTTGGATTTACTATCTGCTCCAGTGTTTGAATGACTCACTGATATGCTCAAGAACGTCACATTGGAGTTTGAATTTTACCCATATTGATCAATTACATGATACAGAATATGGTAATTTATTATTAAGACTATTAAGAATTTTTATTTAAAAATTTTGTTTAAAAATTCAACAACTTTTGAATTGTTAGGGATCTACTGGAAAGATTGAGATTATTTTTCCAGTATATGTTACATATTTCTTCTGTATATTATATAGAAGAAATATATAATATAGATGGGTGAGACTCTGAAGAAAGTTGAGAGAAATAATTCAAAGGTACAGGATAGAGTTATCTTGGTTGAATAATTCTAGAGGTTTACTGTATAACATGAAGACTATAGTTAATAATATTGTATACAGTAAATTTGCTAGAAAAGTAGATTTTAGGCACTCTTGCCACTCCTCATTGAAAAAAGCAAAGGTAACTGTGTGTGATGATGGATATGTTAATTATATTTCAGCAAGTGATATTTAAGCCACAGCTATAAATCACATGTTTTTCTGCAAGCTTACTCTCCTCTCTCAGCCTTGCCTAGAGCTGCATTGAACCCCTCCTTCAGTCTTTTTTTTTTTTCCCCCATTTTAAACTTGCTGAGCACAGAGAACATCTAATACCATTTCCTGGAAGAAAATAGATTATTATGTTACGGACCACAAGTTGTTAGCACATGGGGATTTATTGCTCAATCCCACACAGTATAAAGCATTTATTTTCCCTATTTTGCTGGGTAGGAAATTAGGTGAATAATTTGTGTGATCCAAGAAAGAAATTTGATTTGTTTGAAATGTTTGTTGCTGTGAAGATATATTCAGGAGCCTCTTGCCAAAAAGTACCAATGACTTGCTTTTGTACATGGGCATTAAAGATTTTGGTGGAGAATAGAAGGGTGGTTACTACCTTTGGTTGTTAGACAAGTGGGTGAGGCTGTGAAGAAAGTTGAGAGAAGTAATTCAAAGGTAATTATCTTGATTGAATAATTCTGGAGCCCTAATATACAACATGAAGACTACAGTTAATAATAATGTATACAGGAAATTTGCCAGGAGAGTAGATTTTAGGTACTCTTCAAAAAAGAAAGGTAACTATGTCTGGTAATGGGTGTGTTAATTTACTTGCCTGTGTAGTAAGCACTTCACTCTATATTAAAACATCATGTTGTATACCTTAAATATATACAATTTTAGAAGAAGATTCTTTGAGTAGCTATCATTAAAATAAAGGCTTTACTTTAATATTTTCAGCTAGATTTTTCTTTTTAATGATTGTGTTTATGGCCAATTAACCTCTATTTTCTATTTTAGTGATAATCCTGTTTTTATCTTTTAATTTAAAATTTTCAATTGCAAAAGTATAACATGACTAATTTTTGCAACAAATAAAAAAATGCAAACAGGCTAGATGTGGTGGCTCACACCTGTAGTCCTAGCACTGGGAGGCCAAGGTGGGCAGATCACTTGAGTCCAGGAGTTTGAGACCAGCCTAGGCAACATAGTAAAACCCCAACTCTACAAAAAATACAAAACTTAGCTGGATGTGTTGTCCTATACTTGTAGTCCCAGCTATGAGGAAGGCTGAGGTGGTAGGATCGCTGGAGCCTGGGAAGTCGAGGCTGCCCTGAACTGAGATTGTGCCTCTGTATTCCACCCCGGAGACAGAGTGAGAACTAGTGTTCCCTCCCTGCCAAAAAAAAGAAAGGAGAAGAAAAAGTGCAAACATGATTAAGAAAAAAGGTGTACTGGTGTCTACTTACCATCATAAGGGATTCAAAGTTAACAAGCTTTGTGAATGTTTATATATATAAATCTATGATATGGGAATTAAATGGGTTTTGGTTGTGTTTATTTCTGTGATTTGTCAATTGGTTTGTTGACAAAAGGGATGATACTATATACATTGTTCTATAACTTGATTTATTCGCTTTATAATACATGTTGGACAGTCCTCTGGATTAGTAAACAGACTTCCTTCAGGTTTGTTTGTTTTTAACAAAATTTATTTAGAGACATTGTATTGCTATGTCACCCTTGGTAGTGCAGTGGCATGATCATAGCTCACTCCTGGTCTCAAGTGATCCTCCTACCTCAGCCTCCCAAGTAGCTAGGACTGCAGGTACACACCATCACTTATAGCAAATTTTTATTTTTATTTTTAGTTTTATAGAGATGGGATCTTGCTGTGTTGCCAAGGCTTGTCTTGAACTCTTGGCCTCAAGGAATTCTCTTGCTTTGGCCTTTCTAAGCACTGGGATATAGGCACAAGCCACCATGACAGACCAGGGTTTCATTTTTAAAGGCAAAAATCACATGGAGTCAAATCTACCCTCAAGTTTTATGGAATATTTTATACATATATAGTTTTATTTAGTAATTTGTATGTATAGTTATAGAATCTACGTAGTAACAAATGGGAATTTCTGTTTGTTCTTCTAATTTGCCAGTTTATCATATTTGTCTTCTATAGATAATTTATTAGTTCTTTAATTTTTTTATGGTTGATATTTCTCTGCAGCCCTTTATTTAATTTCTTCCTAAAGAACATCCAAGAAGCCTTCATTCATGCTTTATTTTTCTCAAGCATTATGCATTATTCCTTTGTCAGTGGTCAGAAACCTAGTAAAGTCATTGACATTTTATGTCCATGTTTGCCACTTCTGTCAGCTATCAAGCTTGATTGATTCTACTGTTTGCAGTTGTTATGTTCATAGAGAGAATTAATGGCCTTAATGCCAGTAGTATTTAATGTATGTACCTCACTCCACCCTACCTAGCACTGTAGTTCTCTTTTTCTTTCTTTCTTTCTTTTTTTTTTTTTTTTGAGACAGAGCCTCACTTTGTTGCTCAGGCTGTAGTGCAGTGGCGCGATCTTGGCTTGCTGCAGCCTCTGCCTCACGGGTTCAAGTGATTCTTCTGCCTCAGCCTCCGAGCAGCTGGGTCTTCAGGCATGTGCCACCACACCCGGCTGAGTTTTGTATTTTTAGTAGAGATGGGGTTTTACCATATTGACTAGGCTGGTCTCGAACTCCTGACCTTGTAATCCACCTGCCTCAGCCTCCCAAAGTGCTGGAATTACATGCATGAGCCACTGCGCCCGGCCTATAGTTCTTTTTTTCTTTCTTCTGCCCAGCAGGATTATGTAGTTGAATTTGAGTACATTAAATGTAATTAGACATAATTTTCCTGTTGATATACCTTGTTACATAGGTTAGGAGCTCCAGTAGAATGTTAAAGCGAAATCTGGAGAAAGGTGGCTGTTTTACATCTTTCTTTCGAGATCTTTTTCTTTCCTTTATGCACTGGCTAAGACTCCCAGTACAATTTTAAATAGAAGTGATAAGAGTAAATTCATTACCCAGGGTTCTCCAGAGAAACAGAGCCAATAGGATATAATATGTATATCTATATCTGTGTATCACATATAAATAAGCAAAAATTATAAAAGATTTGTTATAAGAAATTGATATACATGATTATGGAGGTGGGCAGCTGGAGACCCAAGAGAGCCAGTGGTTGCATTCCAGTCTGAATCTGAAAGCCTGAGAACCAGGAATGTCAGTGGTGTAGTTCATATCTGAAAGCTGGTAGGCTTGACACCCAGGAAGAGCTGATGTTTCATTTAAGAGTCCCAAGTCAGGAAAAAAAGCCAATGTCCCAGCTAGAAGACAGCCAAGCAAGAAGAATTCTCTGTTACTTGGAGAGAGTCAGTCTTTATCTTCAGGTATTCTGCCAATTGAATGAGGCTAGCCCACATTAGGGAGGGCAGTCTGCTTTACCCAGTCTACTGATTGAAATGTCAATCACATCCAAAATCACCCAGAATAATGTTTGAGCAAATATCTCATTAGTAATACCCAGAAAAATGTTTGACCAAATATCAGGGCACCCTGTGACCTAATCAAGTTGACACATAAAATTAACTATTATAGTAGACTCCCCCCAGACACAGTCTCACTCTGTCGCCCAGACTGGAGTGCCGTGGTGCAATCTTGGCCCACTGCAACCTCCACCTTCTGGGTTCAAGTGATTCTTATGCCTCAGTGTCCCGAGTAGCTGGGATTACAGGCGTCTGCCACCACACCCAGCTAATTTTTGTATTTTTAGTAGAGATGGGGTTTCACTGTGTTGGCCAGGCTGGTCTCGAACTCCTGACCTCAGGTGATCCACCCGACTTAGGCCTCCCAAAGTGCTAGGATTACAGGATTGAGCTACTGCACCTGGCCTGACATACCGATTTTGTTCTTAAAGGACAGCATTCATTCAGTCTTTCAACTTTAAATATGATATTAAATTGTAGTTTTTTTCATAGATGCCCCTTATTCATAGGTGCCCCTTGTTTAAGAAATTTCTTTTCTTCCTAGTTTGCTGAAAAGTTTTATCCTTTCAGAAAAAGTTGATTACTTTTTCTGCATTTTTTGAGATGATCATTTGATTTGTATATTTTAATCCATTGGTTTTCAAAAGTTGAAACCAACCTTACTATTCTGAAATAATGTCCACTCGGTCAACATGTGTTAGCTATTTAATACATTATTAAATTTGATTTTTTAATATTTTGTTGTGGGTTTTATTGTCTGTGCTCATAAGGAAAATTGAGGAATATTGGTGTGTACTTGACTTGTAATGTCTTTCTTTGATTTTGGTATTAGGATAATGTTGGTCTTATAATGAGTTGAGAAGCCTTCCCCTGCTTTATTTTCTGAACAAGTTTACATGGGATTGGTATTATTTCTTCCTTAAATATTTGATAGAACTTACTCCATGCCATCTGAGCCTTGAGTTTTCTTTGTGGAAAGGTTTTTAATTAGAAATTTAATTTAGGGCCAGGCACAGTGTCTCATGCCTGTAATCCCAGCACTTTGGGGAGGCCAAGGCTGGTAGATAACATGAGGCCAGGAGTTGGAGACCAGCCTGACCAATGTGGTGAAAGCCCGTCTCTACTAAAAATACAAAATTAACTGGGTGTGGTGGCAAATTCCTGTAATCCCAGTTTACTGGGAGGCTGAGGCAGGAGGATCACTTGAACCTGGGAGGCGGAGGTTGTGGTGAGCTGAGGTCGTGCCATTGCACTCCAGCCTGGGCAACAGGAGTGAAACTCTGTCTCAAAAAAGAAAAAAAGAAATTCAGAATTTATTTAAAGGATACATAGGTAGATTTTCTGTTTCTTTGTGTCAGTTTTGGTAATTTTTATCTTTCAGAGAATTTGTTTTGTTATTATTTATTGGCATAAAGTTCGTAATAGCCCCTTATATTAGTTTTTTGTTGCTGGTAACAAAAATACCATAAACTTAGCAGCTTAAAACAACATTTGCTTATTAGCTTAGCAGGCATGGAGTAGCTAGGTTCTGCTTATGTAGTCTTACAAAGCTGAAATGTAGGTGTTAGTTTGGCCGCACTCCTTTTTGAAGACTCTGAAAGAATTTGCTTCCAGACTGATTCAAGTTGTTGGCCCAGTTCTGTTGCATGTGATTGTAGGTGTGAGGTCTCCAATTCCCTGCAGGCTGTTGACTGGGGTCTTCTCTCTGCAACTAGAGGCAGCTCTCAGATCCTTGCCCTGTGACTTTCCCTAACTTTTGAATCTGGAGGATTTCTCACACATCAAATTTCTCATGCTTTGACTCTTGCTAGGAATTGCTGAGTCTCTCTTAAGCATTCAGCCAGAAAGTCAGGCTCACTGAGGTTATCTGCCCTCCTTAAAGGTGACAATGTCATATAGTACAACCTAATCACAGGCATCTAATCCATCGTATTTGCAGTCTGAGAGATCATACAGGACACATGACTCTGTATGAGGTCTATAACGAAAATCTCATGTTCAGGGTTGACTTATCACTGTGCCTGCCTGGTACTTGAACGTCTTCCATCTCTGTGGGAGTGCTTGGAATTCTGTAGCATATAGCGTCCTGGTCAATTGTTCCTTGGCCTTGTGGGACTTTTTGATTTTTGTATTTTTTAAAGGCAGAGTCTTGCTCTGTCATGCAGTTTGGAGTGCAATGGCATAAACAGCTCACTGCAGCCTTGACTTCCTGGGCTCAAGAGACTCTCCTGCCTTAGACTCCTGTGTAGCTGGGATTACAGGCATGCACCACCACACCCAGCTATTTTTTTTTTTTTCTTTTTTAACTTTTTGTAGAGACCAGATTTCACTGTGTTGTCCAGGTTGGTCTTGAACTCCTGGGCTCAAGTGATCCTTCGGCCTCAGCCTCCCAAAGTGCTGGGATTTCAGGCATGAGCCACTGGGCCTGACTATCCTTGTGATGTTTTCATCTTTCATGTATACATCTTAATTAATACTCAGCAGAAGCCTGAACTCAATGTTGCCTAAAATCCACAAGGTGGCATTATTTATAACTATTTATAGCTCTAGTAGGAAAGGGGTCTTCTAACTTTCAGAGAAAGTATGAATTGCATGCTGGGCTCATAAGGTGATCCAACCCACCTTGGCTCCTAGCACTCCCAAGGTGATCCAACCCACCTTGGCTCCCAGCACTTTGGGAGGCCAAGGTGGTTTGGATCACCTGAGATCAGGAGTTCAAGATCAGCCTGGCCAACATGGTGAAAACCCATCTCTACTAAAAACACATAAAAAATTAGCCAGATGTGGTGGGGGGCTCCTGTAAGCCCAACTACTCTACTCGGAAGGCTGAGGCAGGAGAATTGCTTGAACCCAGAAGTTGGAGGTTGCAGTGAGCCGAGATTGTGCCACTGTACTACAGCCTGGGCAAAAAAAAAAAAAAAAAAAAAGTACGAATCCCACCTCTTCTTCTCCTCTTTTTGTTTCTTTTCTCTCTTCTGAGTTGCCCCAGTCTGAACAGTTCTGTGGCAATAGCAACAGTGGTAGCAGGGCAGTAGCAGGAGTAGTGGGGACAGGTGAGCCTAAGACTCAGAGTTGAATGTCTGCTTCAATTATAGGAGTTGTAGTAGCAAGAAAATGGAGTAAGTCTCCCCTTCCCTTACCCGCCCCCCACCCCCAGTATTTAGTATAGTTGCAGGAACGTGGGTCAATAAAGCCTCAGCTTTCTGGTTGGATAACAAGAAAAGGGGAGCTCCAGCCTACTAAAAAAATACTTGGAACACTGCAGAGTAGATAAGCCCAAAAAGCAACCTCTTAAGGTTAGTTGTGCTTATAAGCTTATTCCTGAGCTGTACATATGAGGATCTACTCTTAACAGTCTACATACTTTGAGAACCAAACAGTGGCATATTCTATTACCCAAGTCTCAGACTGGTTAATGTGTAGTACACACATAGGGCAGATGCAAATAGTCCTGCAAGAAGACTCGAAAACTGAGCTGGTATTGGAATTGCAGCTCACAGAAGGCTCATGGAAACTTTCAACTTTTGAACCTAACTATGGTCCCCTAAAACAAAAATATCAGCATTCTCCATAGAATATAAACAAGACCCAGTGTCTCATAATAGTCAAACTGTCTGGAATACAATTCAAAATTAGTTGACACATAAACAATGAGGAAAATCTGAAGTTGTGTGGACAATGATAGTTCAGTAGATGTCAGTACCGAGATGACACAGATGTTGGAATTGTCTCACAAAGACATTAAAGCAGTTATGAAAATGCTGTAACAACTAGGGCAAATAGAATAGAAGGGACTGGAAAGGGAGAAAATTTCAGCCATTAAATAGAAGATAGAAGGAGGAATCAAATGGAAAATTTAGACTAAAAAATACAATAACTGAAATTTTAAAATACGCTGCATGGACCCAATTGAAGAATAGTAATGAGAAAGGAGAGAGTCAGTGACCTTAAGGATTAATCAATACAAATTTTCCAATTTGAGTAACAGAGAGAAAAATGGGAGAAAAATTCGATAGAGCCCCAGGAACCTGTGAGAAAATGCTAGAAAGTCTAACATTTGTGCAATCTGACTTTGAGAAAAAGAAGAGAAAGAGTATACAGTTCAGAAAGACTACTTAAGGAAATAACCACAGGAAACTAGATTATTGGCAAAGTCAGCAAAAGACAGAAACACAAATTCAAGAAGCCCAAGAGAAATACAAGTCCAGACATATCCTGTATTCACATGTATTAGTCATACATCATAATACCTCATAGCCTAGTTATATAGGTCTCAGGACTCCTAATCTGTGAAAATATATAACCCAAGGAAATTGTATCTTTAATCTTAAACATTTAAAAAAATATATTTAGGGAGTATAAATGCAGATTTCTTAAATGCATATGTTGCGTAATAGTGAAGTCTGGGTTTTTAGTGTATCCATCACCCAAATAGTGACACTGTACCCAATAGGTAAATTTTCAATCCTCACACCCCTACCTTCTACCCTCCCACACCTTCCCGGTATCTTACTCTTTATCTTCTTATTTCAGTGCCTGAAACACTAAATAAATATTTATGCAATGATTGAATACATTTTAATGTAACCATCTCTAACATTTTATCCTTAGTGTAAGGCTACACAGTATTCTCATAAGTCAGAACAAAGCTACCTTTTTACAAATTGTGACGTAATAAAGAATGTATATTTGGTCTCTGACCTGGCGTTTAGCAGAGAGCTCCTTTAAGTCCCTTGTCATTTCCCGAGTGATAGGAGCATCTATTATTTTAATGTTTGATCTAGCCTCCATTCCTGACAAAAGAGCTTTCAAGATCTGGGTAATGATAGGAGTGTCCTTTTGTATGCCGACAAGATGAATGAGACTTAAAGCAGCTAGATAGCTCCAGGATGGAGCAGGTTGCCAGAGAAACCAACCAGGTGAATAGAGGATTGGAACTTTCAGCTGCACACCTGGACCGGAGTGGGGAAGGAGGCTAGAGGCCAACTTAATCAGCAGCAGCCAAAGATTTAATAACCATACCTACTTAATGGAGCCTTCATAAAAATCTTAAATAATGGGATTTGCAGAGCTTCTGGGTTGGTGAATATATCCACATGCTGAGAGGATCATGCAGTCAAATTTCATGGGGACAAGCTCCTGCACTTGGGATCCTTCTGGACCTTGAAGTACCTGTCTATTCCTTTTCATCTGGCTATTTGTTTCTATTATTTGTAATATCCTTTATAATAAATGGATAAATGTGTTTCCCTGAGTTTTGTGTACCATTAGACCAGACTGAACCTGAGGAGGGCATTTGTGGGAACCCTCGATTGATCGGAAGTACAGACAATAACCTGGGATTTGCAGTTGTCATCTGAAGTGGAAGTCAGTCTTAAGGAACTAATGCTGTAACCTGGTAACATCTGCGCTAAGTCCAGGTAGTTAGTGTCAAAATTGAATTGTAGGATACCCAATTGGTGTCCAGAGAGTTGGCGAATTGGTTGGTGTAGGAAAAACCCTCACACATTTGGTGTCTGAAGTATATGAAGCTAGAAGAGACAGTTTTTCCTTTTTACAAATGATCAAGGCTGGGAAATTCCCAAAACGTGGGAATTTCCATCTATTCATGCTACTGATCTTTTTTTTATATCTAATACCTAAGGGCAAAAATGTAGTGGATTTTGGCCATATTGTGGGACAAGAAGGAAATTAAAGTGTTGATGTGAAAAAAAAAATCACATATTATTCAACACAGAACATTTTTAATTGGTGAGTATAGGAATGCAGTCTGTGTGTTGGCTTGGCACTTCCCTGCTGTATGTAGCACAGTGGCAAGTCCTTTGCATGACAAAGCCTGACTTCTCTTGCTCTCCTAATGTTCTAGGGCTTGTGAAAAAGTGTTTCCATGAAAGTTTATTAAAGTTGGATAATAAAACGTAACTATATAAAGCATGGTTATAATTTTTTTTAGTTTTGAGACAGGGTCTCGCTCTGTCACTCAGGCTGGATTGCAGTGACACATCTTGGCTCACTGCAGGCTCCAGCCCCAAGGCTCAAGGGATCCTTCCACCTCAGCCTCCTGAGTAGATGGGACCACAGGTGTGCACCACCACACCAACTTTTTTTTTTTTTTTTTTTGAGATGGAGTCTCACATTGTCACCGAGGCTGTATTGCAGTGGCACAATCTTGGCTCACTGCAGTCTCTGCCTGCTGGGTTCAAGCAGTTCTCCTGCCTCAGCCTCTCGAGTAGCAGGGACTACAGGCGTGTGCCACCATGCCCATTTGTATTTTTAGTAGAGACAGGGTTTCACCACGTTGGCCAGGACAGTCTCGATCTCCTGACCTCGTGATCCGCCTGCCTTGGCCTCCCAAAGTGCTGGGATTACAGATGTGAGCCACCTCGCCAGCCTATTTTTTTGGTATTTTGAGTAGAGAGGAGATTTCACCATGTTGCCCAGGCTGGTCTCGAACTCCTAAGCTCAAGTGATCCTCCCACTTCGACCTCCCGAAGTGTTGGGATTGCAGTCATGAGCCACTGTGCCTGGTTTTAAAGCATGATTAATTATACTTTAAAATTCTCTACTTCTCAAAGGAGTGAAGATGACCCAGATCAAGCTTCAGGAAATGGGACAATTTTTAGAGAATTTCATGTGATACAGATTTAGAGAATGGATTTTGTTACTGCTTTTTCTGAAAACAAAAACTTCTTTTTATGCTTCTTTTTTTTAATGGGAGATTCTAAATTCAGAGAAGAAAATTATCGTTATAAAGTTGGTTCTTTTTTTCTACTGTTATTTTTAACCATTTGTCAACTTTAATAATTTTAGTAAATTACCCAGAGATTTCTCAACCAGAACTGATCTTAATGACTTGGCCTTAAATAAATCATACTTTGACTATTAAATAATGATTATTATTTTCAACAAAGTTTTTCAGAATGTGCAGGGCCCTTTTTTTTTTTTTTTTTTTTTCTTTTTTCCACCATGCTCAAGTTAGACTAGTTCTTTGTCGTTATCCTTTCCCAGATCACATTTTTGTTGTGGCTGTTCACAGGTGCTATGGGACTTATTTTGGGATCATTATAATTGATGGTTGTTTTTTTTTTGAACTTTTATAGCCCTCTCATCCCTAATTCTACTTCGTTCCCTATACCTGAGTTTTGCCACTTGTTTTTGGTTGCAGTTACCACTAGCATTCTGTTTTGTTTTGTTTTTAAATATTAGCTAACATTTATTGAGCCTTTATTATATGGTAGGTACTTATTTGTCTTTATTTCTCATTGCCTTTGTCACCAGAACATTGAAAAAACAATCATTTGTAAAACTCATAATTTTCTGAATAAACTGTATTTAAATTTCATATTTAAATTCATGAAAGATCACTAAGAGTAAGAATTGAATACCATTTTTATCCTGATATCTTATACCCTCCTATACAACAGATGCAAAATATATTTTATGTATGTTTTGTTTTATGATTTACCAAATCTCATTTCACAATTACTTGAGGTGAGCCTACACTGTCTCACAGTCTCTCTGTGTGTCTCTCTTATGTAACACATACAATATACATAGGTTTGACTTAAAAAAAAAAAAAAGAGGATAGTTAATTGACAAGAAGTAAGAAAAAAAAACTCAGTAGCAAGATTCCCGGTAGGTATGTATATAATAAGATCCTGTGTAATTAATTGCTTGATGTGGGCTACATATTTGGCTGTCTGCTTGCCCTACACCTAGTGGACAAGACAAAGAGAAAACATGATCAGTTATAATGTTCAGAATCTCATAAGACAAACTGGTT